AGGATGTTGTGGGGGACCGTGTCAAAGGCCTTAGAGAGGTCCAGACAGACCACATCTGTAGCCCTTCCCATGTCCAGTGCTGTAGTCACTCCATCATAGAAGGCCACTAGGTTGGTCAGGCAGGACTTGCCCTTGGTGAAGCCATGCTGGCTGTCTTGAAGCACCTCCCTGTCCTCCATGTGCCTTAGCATAGTTTCCAGGAGGATCTGTTCCATGATCTTCCCAGGCACAGACGTGAGACTGACTGGCCTGTAGTTCCCTGGGTCTTCCTTTTTTCCCCTTTTAAAAATGGGGGTTATGTTTCCCCTTTTCCTGTCAGTGGGAACTTCACCGGACTGCCACGACTTCTCAAATATGATGGATAGTGGCTTAGCAACTTGAGTTTCCCAAGGAGAGTCCCAAGAGGTTTTTGGGAGTTTCCATTGTATTGCTGTGTAATCCATCTTTTAGAGGAAATATTAAAAAACCCTCAAATAGAAAATTGTCTGTGTTTTCTTGGATGTGACTCAGCTTTATTTTCAAGCATTTCCTACAATGAATTATTTCGAGGTTTCAAACAGAAATTACTGGGGTTTTTTGTTTGTTTTCCCATTCTTGCTTAAATGTTCAAAATTCAGTAACTGGATTGTTTACAATTGCTTCAGTTCAGATTGGTTATAAATATATGTGACTTTGTATATATTATATATACATAGTAATAGGAAAGTAGAGATGTGTGTAACATAGTGAGACAGTATATTGTTCATTGTTCGTTATTCCCTGGTTAGCCTTTTCTTTAGTGAGAGTTTAGGTATAAAAATCATTACAAAAAACGTGTCTCTACTGCATGCAATTCAGAGTTGAACATAAGAAGGAAGAGGCATATTAGAGACAGCTGTGATTAGTTCTCCAATTTTCTAATATTAAATCCATTAAGTATTTACTGTCTCAGCTAATGAAGAGATGGGGAATGGTCATGAATCAGCAGGGGAGGACTGGTGAGCAGTCATTTTCACGTTATCCAGTTTCTAAGGAGGTTCCTTCACAAGCAATGGGGAGTTTAACGTGTTCTAGTGAAAGATGAACACAGATCCGTGTTCTGGAGAAAGCAGATGGGATGGGGGTTTGGTTCAAGGAGCTGATGGGTAGATGGTGATACCAGCGGTCTGCAGGAGCGATTTAGCTTAAGTGATTTATGGGAGCTGTTTGGAACACTTCACTGAGTCATTACAAAAAGGCCTCTTCAGGTGATTTACCAACTGCAGTAAAGGTGTCTTGAATGCCTTGGCTGTTCAGCTCTCTTCTTATTCTTCATTTGTCATCTGTCTTTATGTGCTACTAGCATGTGATTACCTTGAGGAGGAGACCTTTGAACATCTCTTCAGCACTCTTCACTGTAAATAATGAATACCTTGCTATTATTTGTCGAAAGGGACTGCTAGGCAGCGTTTGTCTTTTTTGGTCACTGAAATAGTTTAAAAAATGGAAATGCCAGTGGCTATGGGAAGTTGTATCATGTTCATCTATGTGTCCATATGGTAGAATATGGTATGTCCTTCACAGCACAATGAAACATGATTGTGCCTAATTCCAATTTGTATGGCATTCCCATTAATGATGTCTATGTAAGACATCCATTAAAAGCCCTTAATGTTAATTAACTGGACTATGCCAATGAAGTGCTGTTAGCTGCCCCCTATTAATTTAATATTAGAGGTATTTAACAGGTGTCTTAATTAGATGTTACACTGAAGGCTATGAGCAAAATTAAAATTAGGTGATTGTCCTGAAAAGAAAGTTTCTGCTATGATTTATGCTTTCAACCACTTTGTCTTTCCTTCTGGCCTCTCACAGGAAACCAAGGGATTTAATTTCGGAGAATGCTGAGAGGAATAATAGGTACTAGGTAGAATAGTAACTTGGGTCTAACAGCTTTAACACATCTTGTTCTTACTTCACAGATATATAAAGTTGGGCGGGAGTATTGATCTGCTTGAGGGTAGGAAGGCTCTGCAGAGGGACCTGGACAGGCTGGATCGATGGGCCCAGACCAACTGTATGAGGTTCAACAAGGCCAAGTGCCGGGTCCCGCACTTGGGTCACAACAACCCCATGCAACGCTACAGGCTTGGGGAAGAGTGGCTGGAAAGCTGCCCAGCGGAAAAGGACCTGGGGGTGTTGGTCGACAGCCGGCTGAACATGAGCCAGCAGTGTGCCCAGGTGGCCAAGAAGGCCAATGGCATCCTGGCCTGTATCAGAAATAGTGTGGCCAGCAGGAGGA